TATTCACTAAAATCGAAAACAAAACTTAGTATTAATTCATGAATGTTACTATTAGATACAGCAAACAAATAAATAAATAATCATAAAATATATAACATCACATCCTAAACAAATTTCATTCATAAACATTAACCATTCAACCTATACTATGAATAAAAAGAAAGAAAAGCATACACGAAACCCTAAAAATACAAGACAAACTATAAAAATTTTAACTAATAATAAAATTAAGAGTGAATTCCATTTTTGGTCCTACTGTTATAGGGGTGTTTTCAATTTCAGTCCACTTTAATTTTTTTTGCCACTTTACAACCACTGTTATTGAATGTGTTCCACTTTTAGTCCACCGTTAATATTTCCGTCAAGAGGCCGTATAATCAAAGGGTATTTTGGTCTTTTTATGTTTGTCTCTTCTCTTTTAATCCAGGCGCTTCGTCCTCCTCCTCCAATATTCGAAGATGGCTCTTCGAACAACGAGAATGGGAAGCCAAAGCTACATCGTTTCGTTCGTTCCAACATGGGCCGACGAGGTTTCTTAGGTTTTAGGTTTAATGTTCTCATTTCTTTAGTCAAACATAGTCTTGGATGAGAAGAAAGGTCAAAATACCCCTAGATTACACGGCCTCTTGATGGAAATACTAACGGTGGGACTAAAAGTTGAACATATTCAATAATAGTGGTATTATAAAGTGGCAAAAAAAATTAAGGTGGACTAAAATTGGAAACGCCCCTATAACAGTATGACCAAAAATGGAATTCACTCTAAAATTAATCTACACAAAATGTTACCCGTTTATATCCTGATACCACATAAAGATCGCAACACTATCAACACCTCATCCCGCCACCATTGCCCACCACATCTAGCCTCCATTATTGCCACCTCCAACCTACATATACATACGAATTATACACACACACACATGCTGCATGTCATGTTACACTTGCTTGACATAGCTATATACATTTGAAAGAAGGTGAGAAAAAGTGAGTTACTTTTTATTACTCCGTACCCATTATTCAGACATGCTTGGTTGTCTTAGAATTCGATGTTTCGATGGAGTTAAGAATAATATTAATAGGGCATAATGTAGCAATTCTTCAACTGTCGGCATCCCACATGCATTATGATGAGCTTTTCATGCATTAGACATTATGCCTTAATTCCTTAAACAACATCATGACTGTACTTCAAAACTTTGTCTATTCTATATATATATATAGGGCTGAGTTCAAATGAGGACAACAATATATAGAGGACTGTGAGGACAAATAATGGGCACACAACAAATTAATACCAGGCACACAACTTAATACATAATGGCACACAAGAATAAATGTAAATATCAGGTTTCAAACTCAGACTCTATAAATTAACAAATCTAGCACACGACATACAAACTGTGGCACACGACTATATTCGGCCATGCACACGACATACCGACTAATGGCACACACTACATTTGTCCTCACAGTCCTCTATAATATACTTGTCCTCATTTGAATACACATCTATATATATATATATATATATATATATATATATATATATATATATATATATATATATATATATATATATATATATATATATATATATATATATATATATATGTATATATATATCAACCAAAATCGAATTTATAATCCTCGGATTATAATTCCAACCAAAAGGAAACGAAGTGTAGTACAAGAATTTTTACTTAGAGCATAATCCAAAAACCGGAGAAGAAAAAAGAGTGCTTAGAAAATATGGCTCGTGTTTGGTGTAGGGTTTTTAGCACGAGTTGAGCGATCACTCTCTCCTTAAAACCTTATTTACCACCTCCCAAAAGTGCTAGGAGAGTTGTGGCCTAGGCTTCCCAGGATAAAACATACTACGATTCGACGTTTGAGCACCCAAACGAACGAACCCGGCAAACTAGAGCAAAGCTTAGAACACAGTAGGCTAAGAGAGGAGTAGAAGTAGAGATTTTGAAGCAGAAAATCTTATTTCATTATATGTATTTTTCTACTCATTGAGAAATTCTGCTGCTACTACTACTTCTTAAATAGGAAAAGGTGGTGTAAATAGCATTTACTTTGGCATTTAAACCCATGTTCAAATCCTTCAAAACTGACAATTTATCATGGAGGTTAATTCTGAAATTAATATAGAATTAATTTCGTAACAGCTGAATTAACCCATTCAAACAGTCAGGTAAACAGTACAGACATGTACCGTTCCGGTAGATGTGAACCGAACGCACTGTTCTGGAAGACCGGAACGTACAGCTCACCGTGCACCGGACTGCTTGGCACGTCTACCGATTTCGGATGCACCGTGTGAGTTGGAAAAATGTTTCGTTTCGGAAAGTTGCATAACTTAGCTCGCAAGGTCTGCTAATTGCCGACGTACACGAGTGAGTTTAGGCTTGAAGCCTTTTCAATCTCAGTTTGGGATTTGATTCCAAACCTTCCTTGTGAAATTCCCTTCCAATTCCTTAATTAAAATTCGGAGGACGTAAATTGACCAATTCCTTGGTCAATTGGTTTAGTCAAAAGAAAATACCTTGAGCTTTATAGGTTGTACCTAGCCTTTTGATGTCTTCCTAACCTTTTTAATAAAGGAGGGCATACTAGTCCTTTCACCCTTACTTGGCATTCAAGCCTTACCCTAATAAGACTACATTTCATTTCCTACATTTGGCAAGAAAACACTAGACTCTCTACCTTCTCTCTAAAAGTCTAGCTTACTCTCCAAGCCAACCAAATCATCCTTCAACCTTGCAAGAAAGTTCTCCAAGATTACACCTTTCCACCTTCAAGACTCTAGGAAGGGTAAGATCTTAGCTTAGATAGTGCTTTTAGTGGGTTTTACCTAATCTTTATCTAAGTGTTGGTTTTCTTTGTGTGGTTTGGTTGTGTTGAGAAGACTTTGTTGAGGAAGAGCTTGAAGGAGAAGACTAGGAGGTAAAAAAGAAGTATTTCTTAGACTACAAAGGTAACCCATGCTATACAAAACCTATTTTGTACTTGCTATGATGATTTCGTGCTACTCTATTGATGTTCTTGATGTAGTGAGTGATTTGATGTATAATCTTGTGTTTATGCATGTTAGAGCTTGTATCTAGGATGCTATTTATTGAGCTATTCATGTGTTCAAGTCATTCCTTGTTGAATGTGAGGTTTAAGGTTGTTTTGGACTTGAACTTGCCTATGTTGATGTTTTTCCCCGAAGGGAAATCTGTGGGCATAGGCGTGTACCCGCGGGCAGAACAGCGGGTGGCTGTCCACCCGCCGTTCCACCCGCGGGAGGTATGGTGGTGACCAGCGGGCAGAGCCGCGGGTGGAGGCCCACCCATGGTTCCACCCGCAGGTACCTGTAAGGGGGTGTGGCGGGTGGTTGTCCACTCACCGTTCCGCCCACTGGTACGTGATGCTTTGGCCTCCGTTTTGTTGAATCGTTGTGCACTTGTGTGTCTCCTTTGATATTTTGTATGTCTAGAACGGTGTCCTAAGTATCCATGATAGGATTATGAGTCTTGAATCGTGCTTATGGTCCATCCTTGTGATTCGTTAGATTAATGTGAAGTCGTTGATGTTCGATTGAACCTTTATGTTATCCTCTTGATGTACATGCTAGTTAAGATGTTATTGATGCTAGTATGCGTTGTTCATTTGTTCCCAATGAGGATTGGCAACTTGTGTTGCCAGTAATCTTTGGATTAAAGTCTATCGTTGTTGTATCGTTGTTTGATTGTTGATTCATGTCTTTCATTGAAATCTATCGATTGAATTCCTTAATATGATCTTGTACATATGATGTACCCGTTTATTGATACTTGATTGCGCTATTGATGAGCCTCAATCCTCTATAACAATGATTATGTGAATGCTATGAGATTGGTGGTAATGTTATTGAGTTTTGCTCACATGCTAGCGGTATACTATCATGATTAGGACTAAATGATTAATGACATTGCGAATGTCTACGTTCGGTGGCAAGCAGGCGGATGCAGGCGGGGAGAAATGTAAAGGCCCCGGAGGGATAAGGTTGGACTTGGTGTACAGGGTGGCACTAGGAGGTAATGGTTGGAACTGAGATAAGGTTGGGGGTAGCCATAAGGTTGGAACAGGGCATAAGGTTGGAACTTGGAATGTATCATTGAATGTGAATCATGTCTCTCATGGTTTATGAGTATGACTTATGTTGTGTCTTGATTGATTATTATATGATGTATCTCGTTGTTAAGCATGTTACTTATGTCGTTCTTATTGATCTATTGAGTAACCGTTGATGTTGGTCTTTATTTGAGAGTGAATGATGATGAGTCTTATGATGTTTCTATTCCTCATTTTAAAGACTATATTATGTATTCCAAGTCTCAAATCCTTTTCTCTATATCTATATTATATTGTACTCAACAAGTTTTGGTGGGTTACTAGCATTATTCGCTGACGGGTGCTACCCTTGTGTTTTCAGGTGTTGAATAGATCGTTGAGAGCGCGCTAGTGAAGGGCATAGATTGCGTAGCTTTCCTTTTTGTTGTTCTAGACTTGTGGCCTGTGAGCCTAGAATTATTGGATATTAACTTATGTTGGTTTTTGGTTTAGATTCTAGCCTGTGCATCTATAGTTAAATAGATGCTGCGTAACTCCCTCGTACCTTATTGATAGCTTCCGCTAAGCTTTAATTTAATGATTAGACTTATCTTTATATTTAAGTTTTAAATTATGCCGAAAATCGAGAGTGTTATAGTTGGTATCAGAGCCTAGGTTTGAGCCTAGGTTAGTTCTTGTAAGTTAAGGACTTTAAGTTGCTTAGTGAAGTCTTTAAGTGTTTAAGTACCTAAGTATAGGATTCTTAGGACGCGCGGTGAGGATGTGAGTTCTTTTATTGCTTTGCTATGTTTCGTTGTCTGCTTCTATTTAGTTTAAGTTCTTTCGTTTAGGCACCGGGTAAGGGTGCAAGTTCTTTAGTTTTGTCGTAACCTGTGTTGCTTCTGTAGAGCTCAGCAATGGCACCGCCTTGTCATCGTGCACGGACTCCTGACACACCCACGAACGAACAGCTAGCCCAGAACCTGCAGCGTCTGACTCAGAACACGCAAACCCTGAGCAATGCACTCCCCCACAACAACAACAATCAACCACCGCCAGATGGGAATCGGGACGTTGCCCGACAAGTCTCCAATCACCGCCCTCCGACCTTTGCCGGGGAAGAAGACCCCACGGTCTTGGAAGAATGGGTTCGTACCATGGACAAGATTTTCACCGTAGCTGGGTGTTCCGAGGAATGCCGAGTTGAGTTAGCAGTTTTCTTTTTCACCCATGAAGCCAATTTGTGGTGGGTCCACGAGGGACCGGTGTGTCAGGAAGAACCGGGGTTTGGTTTGGAAGCGTTGAAAGACAAGCTCCGAGAACGTTTTTATCCTTCTCATGTTCGGGCGGCAATGTACGAAGAGTTTCTCCACTTGAAGCAAGGGGCCTCAACTGTGGTAGAGTACCACAAGTGGTTTCTCAAGTTAGCTCGCTTTGCGTGCATTTTGGTCCCTAATGAAGCCGCCAAGGTGGAGAATTTTGTGGCCGGGCTCAATTATGAGGCAAGGAAATCTCTAAAGGTGTTCAAACCAAGGACGCTCAGCGAAGCCTATACCAGTGCTGCAGATTTGTATCGGGTCCAACAGTTGCAAAGGGGGCCAAGTGAACAAGTGAATAGGAGAGTTGAGGGAGGAGGATGTTCGAGCTTTAAGAAACCAAGGAGCGATTTCACTGCTAAGGCAACCTACTCTCAAGGACAGGGATCGGCAAGGGCACATTCGGAGGTAAGAAAGGGGCCGACTCTGTGTAGAAGGTGTGGTAAGGATCACATCGGAAGAGACTGCCAAGAAAATCTGATTCAATGCTTCAACTGTGGAAGAAGAGGACACAAGTCCCGTGTTTGTCCTTACCCGGTTGAACAAGGAGTACCACCCCAGCACCCCGCTAGTGCAAGACCACTTGTTCCGGGTCAATCAGGAGGTGGAAACAATTAGGGTTATGCAAGTGCACCTTCCGGAAGATCGGGACCGCCCCAAGGAAGAGTGTTTGCGATGAGCCGGTCCCAAGCCGAAGGTAAGGATCTAGTCGAAGATGCGTCCGCAGGTATCTTTCCCCGAGCCTATCTCCTTACCTTTGAGTTTCGTTCTCTCACGTTTCTTTCCTCTAAGCCTTTCGTTTTGGGTAGATTTCCTTAGATCACCTAGTTAATTCCTTTAAGGTTTGCTAGCCTCAGTAGTAAAAACATAAATAATAAAAAGGGACCTAGCTAATAAGTTTAATTTAGAATCTTTAGTTTCACCTTAAGTGTGGTAAAAGCTAGTTTTTTTTTTTTTTTTTTTTTTTTTAGGAAAACCTTAAGGAAATAGAGCTTAAAACTCCAAGGTAGTCTTTTCGTCTTTAGGGAGTTTCAGACCTAGGCATTTGGGTTTCCAACCCACCATTGAACCATCCAAGCTAATTGTGTTTCTTAAACCTTGTTAAACATTAATTCCTTTTTACCTTTTCTCCTCCCAAACCCTAGCCTAAAAATCTCACTTAACGTCTTTTCTTCTTATTTCCTCCCTCCCCACCCGCCGTTCAGCAAAGAGAACCTCCCCCCCCCCCCCCCGCTCACAGCTCGCTGCTTTGAACCGAGGGAACCCGCGAGAAACCTCCCAGCCACCATCCGCCACTACACCTGCCACCCATCGCCGACCTCCGCCGCCGCCGTCATCCTCCGCCTACCGCCGACGTGCCGCTGTAGGTTAGTCGAAAGATCGAGCAAAAGGAAAAAAAAAAAAAAAAAAAGAGAGAAAGAAAAAGAGTTTTAAGCTTCTTCTACAACGTGGGTCTTTGCACAATGACTAGGAGGACAAGCATCCTTAAGAAGGTGGAATGGGTGGATGTCCATTACTCGGTTTTAGAAGGTAAAACCTTTGAGCCCGAATTATTCTCTAGCACTATTTTGGACTTGCTTAATTTTCAAGGATTATTGGATTTATTTTTGACAATTACGTGTGAGACCTACCCGAAGTTGGTGAAAGAGTTTTATCACCATATGAGTGTTACCAAGAATGGGAGCAAACTAGAAATCACCTCTAAAGTGAGGGGTATCAAGATTTCTTTGAATGAAAGTCGTTTGGCCAAACTCCTTAAGTTGACTCCAACCGGAGTTTCAGAGTATAATAGGGAAACTTGGATTGAAACGAGAGAGTTGAGCCACAAGGATTATTTGAGATACTTGTTGGGGAGAGAGGACGATTTCACTCAGGCCACGAGGCTGGAGAAGAACTGGTTATCCGGTGAACAAAGGATTTTGGTAATGTTGGTGACTGACAGTTTGTTGCTCAATAACAACAAGAGCAAGGATGTGGAGAATTTAGAGTGCACTTTTGCATATTTTCTGAAACACAAGGTGAAGTTCAACTTATCGGCCTTGATGTTCAAACACATGGACTACTGAGTTGGCCACAACCGTAAGAGTCTGCCTTACGGTATGGTTTTGAGTTGGATTATGAAGAGCAAAGGGGTAGATGTGGGCCAGTCAGTGGCTAAGCTTGTGGGCAAGATGGTCTTCGATGCCCAGAATCTCCGAAGTTGCCACCTATTCCAAGTTGAAGACAATGAGTACATCACATTGGAGGAAGTAGCTCAGAAATCTCCAGGCGAGAGGAGACTCCTAGTGGATCAGTTGGCTATTCCCATCAAGAAGCTGAAGTTAGTAGTTTAGGAGTTGGGAGGAGGTGAAGAAGAGGAAGAAGGTAGTGACCCCGATAGTGAGGAGGATGCCCGGAGGAAGGAGGTGCGGACCAAAGAGGAGCATGATTCCATGACCACAGATGAGCGTGTGGTAGCTCTTTTGCGAAAGCAAAACCGGCTCATTGAGGAAGGTTTCTCTTTTATGAAGACTTAGTTTGCTTCCGTGAACCAAAGGTTGACCGCCTTGGAATCTAGTTCGAGTAGGGACAGAGTCAACGAAGTTTCAGACTCGGACAAGGAAGCTACGGAAGACACAGATGGCAGCTCCCCTCAAGACGAAGAGTGAGGTAACCCTTCTTCAACCCTTGTTTGTTTCTGTTGGTAACTCTAGACCTAGTTTGTTGGAACCTTAGCAGTAAACTACTTTAGCAAGTTGTGTACTAAGGGTTGTGGTATAGACAAGATCTTGGTTTAGTTGGGTACTTTTAGCTTAGTAGTGGTGTTTGCTCGGTGGAATCTTTGTTGCCTTAAAACCTTGATTGCTACCTATCTTTAAAACTTGTCACACGTTTTGCAAGCCAACTGTTATTGTTGTTGAACCTCGTTGCACCCAAGCTTCGGGGACGAAGCTTCGTGTTAGGGTGGGAGAGTGTGACACCCCGAAAATCCAATTCTTAAGTGGAATTAATTATGTAATTAATTCCAGACCTTCCTTGTGAAATTCCCTTCCAATTCCGTGGTCATTTGGTTTAGTCAAAAGAAAAGACCTTGAGCTTTATAGGTTGTACCTAGCCTTTTAATGTCTTCCTAACCTTTTAATAAAGGAGGGCATACTAGTCCTTTCACCCTTACTTGGCATTCAAGCCTTACCCTAATAAGACTACACTTCCTTTCCTACATTTGGCAAGAAAACACTAGACTCTCTACCTTCTCTCTAAAAGTCTAGCTTACTCTCCAAGCCAACCAAATCATCCTTCAACCTTGCAAGAAAGTTCTCCAAGATTACACCTTTCCACCTTCAAGACTCTAGGAAGGGCAAGATCTTAGCTTAGATAGTGCTTTTAGTGGGTTTTACCAAATCTTTATCTAAGTCTTGGTTTTCTTTGTGTGGTTTGGTTGTGTTGAGAAGACTTTGTTGAGGAAGAGCTTCAAGGAGAGGTCTAGGAGGTAAAAAGGAAGTGTTTCTTAGACTACAAAGGTAACCCATGCTATACAAAACCTATTTTGTACTTGCTGTGATGATTTCTTGCTACTCTTTTGATGTTCTTGATGTTGTGAGTGATTTGATGTATAATCTTGTGTTTATGCATGTTAGAGCTTGTATCTAGGGTTCTTAAATGCTATTCATTGAGCTATTCAAGTGTTCAAGTCATTTCCTTGTTGAATGTGAGGTTTTGGGTGTTTTGGACTTGAACTTGGCTATGTTGATGTTTTTCAACGTAGGGAAATCTGTGGGTACAGGCGTGTACCCGCGAGCGGAACAGCGAGTGGCTGTCCACTCGCCGCTCCACCCGCGGGTGGTATGGGGGTGACCAGCGGGCAAAGCCGCGGGTGGAGGCCCACCCATTGTTCCACCCGCTGGTACCTGTAAGGGGGTGTGGCTGGTGGTTGTCCACCCACCGTTCCGCCCACTGGTACGTGATGTTTTGGCCTCCGTTTTGTTGAATCGTTGTGCACTTGTGTGTCTCCTTTGATGTTTCGTATGTCTAGAACGGTGTCCTAAGTATCCATGATAGGATTATGAGTCTTGAATCGTGCTTATGGTCCAACCTTGTGATTCGTTAGATTAATGTGAAGTCGTTGATGTTCGATTGAACCATTATGTTATCCTCTTGATGTACATGTTAGTTATGATGTTATTGATGCTAGTATGTGTTGTTCATTTGTTCCCAATGAGGATTGGCAACTTGTGTTGCCAATCATGGTAATCTTTGGATTAAAGTCTATCGTTGTTTGATTGTTGATTCATGTCTTTCATTGAAATCTATCGATTGAATTCCTTGATATGATCTTGTACATATGATGTACCCGTTTATTGATACTTGATTGCGCTATTGATGAGCCTCAATCCTCTATGACAATGATTATGTGAATGCTATGAGATTGGTGATAATGTTATTGAGCTTTGCTCACATGCTGGCGGTATACTATCATGATTAGTACTAAATGATTAATGACATTGCGAATGTCTACGTTCGGTGGCAAGCTGGCGGATGCAGGCAGGGAGCAATGTAAAGGCTCCAGTGGGATAAAGTTCGACTTGGTGTACAGGGTGGCACTAGGAGGTAATGGTTGGAACTGAGATAAGGTTGGGGTTAACCATACGGTTAGAACATGTAGGGGTGACCACGGTTCGCTTCGAACAGTAGGTTTGAACCGTAACCGTTACTATGCTAACCGGAACCAATAAGGTTCTAGTTAAGGTTTTCAAAATATTGGAACCGAAACTGCCGGTTCCGGTTCCAAACCGTAAAAAAAGAAAAAAAAAATTAAGTTGAAATTTGAAAAGCCAAAGCCGCAAGGCTTTGGCTTTTCAAAAGTCTAAACCAGCAGTGGCCTACGCCAGTGGCTTGCTGTCTACCAATAGCTATGCTATTTGCCTACTGGCCAATAGCATTGCCATTGGCCAAAACTTTAACATAACTTTTTCTTTTATTCCGGTTAGAACCGGCGGTTCCAACCGGAATCACCAGTTCGTGAACCGGAATCGGAACTTTAATATAATGTTCCGGTTTCACCATTTGCGGAACCGGAACCAGAACTTGAACCGCGGTCACCCCTAAGAACAGGGCATAAGGTTGAAACTTGGAACGTATCATTGAATGTGAATCTTGCCTCTCATGGTTTATGAGTTTAACTTATGTTGTCTTTTGATTGATTATCGTATGATGTATCTCATTGTTAAGCATGTTACTTCTATCGTTCTTATTGATCTATTGAGTAACCGTTGATGTTGGTCTTTATTTGAGAGTGAACGATGATGCATCTTATGATGTTTCTATTCCTCATTTTAAAGACTATATTATGTATTCCAAGTCTCAAATGCTTTTCTCTATATCTATATTATACTGTACTCAACAAGTATTGGTGGGTTACCAGCATTATTCGCTGACGGGTACTACCCTTGTGTTTTCAGGTGTTGAATAGATCGTTGAGAGAGCGCTAGTGAAGTGCTTAGATAGCGTAGCTTTCCTTTTTGTTGTTCTAGACTTGTGGCGTGTGAGCCTAGAATTATTGGATATTAACTTATGTTGGTTTTTGGTTTAGATTCTAGCATGTGCATCTATAGTTAAATAGATGTGGCGTAACTCCCTCGTACCTGATTGATAGCTTCCGCTAATCTTTAATTTAATGATTAGACTTATCTTTATATTTAATTTTTAAATTATGCCGAAAATCGATGGTGTTATGTTTACTACTCAATAACCAAATTAACTATTTTTTCTTTGTTTATTTTCTTTAATATTATCTTATTATTTTAAATTTAATTTTTTGTTATATCATGAGATGTCATGAACACATCCTAACTATAGGAGGAACCAATAAACTCGTACCATACTCACAGTAATCCTCGTTCACATTGGGTCGTTCCGATTAAGGGACAAAGTGCTTGCCATATTGATTTTTCAATAGGAGATGGGGTATTGAACTCCCGACCTCTCTTAATAATACTTTTAATATAATTTCTAAATATATAAGTTTTATATATTAACGGTAAGTTATGCCCTTAATATTATGAAAATTTGAATTGTTAATAAGTTCAGTCAAATCTTGTTAATTAAATTAGACACACAAAATGAAAACAAATGAAAAATATGTTCTAATTAAACTAACTTAATTTGCTTCTCTCTCTAACGGTCTAGGGTTTTCTCCTTTACGATCTTTAGTTTGTCTAGAGTTTTCTTGCATGCGAACAAGTTTTACGTCCACGTCCACGTTCCGATAAGCTCATGGCGACGGAAGTCAACGACCTGATCTCAGGTTGTGCAGACATACGGTTGGAAGAGGAGGAAGTGCGTATCAGGTTTGGTGAGGATGTGCCAGCAGCAATAACCAGGACAACTCCATCTTCTGGGTCTCTAGTTGGGAGATTTCTAACGGATAAAGCGATAAGGCCTTTGCGGGGTGTTCAAATAATTGATATTCAGCCTAATCTTTTCGTGTTTATATTCTACCATGTAACTGATATGCGTAGAGTCCTCAACGAAGGCCCATGGTCGTTTGGGTACTCCACGCTGGTCTGTAGATAGGTTGAGGAAGGGCAGCATCCCCCGCAGGTTACTCTGGATTCGGTTGATCTCTGGGTCCAGGTGTATGACCTCCCGATTGGATATTGTAATAATGTGGTGCTCGAGAGGATTGGTAACTTTGTAGGGAAGTTGGAAAAGCTGGATGATAGGAATTTTGGTGGAGGTTGGAGGAACTTTTACAGGGTTAGGGTTTTGATTGATGTATCTAAGCCTATAAAAAGAAGGATGAAACTGATGAAGAGAGACAATTCATGATATTTGATGGAGAATAAAACTGGGTTTTGAAAGGTGTTTTCATGTGGATAGTGTGGGTCTAAGTGGCGGTCTTTGCTTTCTGTGGAGAACTAATAATATGGCACAACTTATTAGCTACTTATAGAATCATGTGGATTTGGTCATTACCCAACCTGGAAAACAACATTGGAGGCTTACGGGTTACTATGGTTTTTCTGAAAGGTCTAGAAGAAGGGACACATGAAACTTTCTTAGGTCTCTAAAAGGCTATTCTAATCTTCCTTGGGGTGTTCTGGGGGATTTCAATAATCTTCTTTCACACTCTGAGAAGAAGGAAAGGCGTCCCCACCCAAGGGGATTACTTGACGGCTTTGGTGAGGTTCTGGAGGACTATATATTGACTACTATTCCTATGTGGGGGGTACCTCTTTACATTGGAACGTGGGAAGGGTACAAGGGAGTGGGTGGAGGAAAGGCTAGACAGAGTGGTTGTTGATGAGGCGTGGAGGACGATTAAAAGCAATGCCAGGGTGTACAATTTGTAGACATCTTCATCTGATCACTTAGCATTGTTTCTTGATGTGTATGTGAGAGAGGGAGGGAGTGGAAGGGGTTTTTTTCGTTTTGAGAATGCTTGGCTGCTGGAAGCTGGGTGTAAAGAGGTTGTGGAGGGTGCTTGGTCCCAAACAGGTGACTTGAGTTTCCAGCAATGACTCAGGGGCTGTGGGGAAAGACTCAAGCATTGGGGTGGGGAAAGGTATCATAGGTTCAATGCAAGTATTGAGGAGTTAAAGAGGGAGCAGAGCTTCATGAGGGATGTTTTGATGAGGAATGTTTAAGGAAGTTTATAGATCTTGATGCTCAGTTGGGGTCTCTGTTGTCTCAGGAAGAAGCTTTTTGGAAACAAAGGGCGAAGCAGCATTGGTTGGTTGGGGCTGACCAAAACATGAAATTCTTTCACAGGCATGCATCCCATAGAAAGAAGAATAACACAATACTTAGACTAAAGGATGGTACAGGGAATTGGGTTAAAGGTGCTAGTTTGAACCCCCTTGTTTTGCAGTATTATGTGGATATTTTCACATCCTCAGATAGCATAGAGGTTTTCCAAGTTGACTCTATGCAGCCCCGTGTCTCTCAGGAGGTAATGCTTCACTTCTCTATCCTTTTGAATCATGAGAGGTAAAGGAAGCCATGTTTTCTATGGGACCTGATAAATCCCCGGGCCTAGATGGTATGAATCCAAGTTTCTTTCAGCACTTTTGGGATGTGGTAGGGGGATGTAACAGATTTTACTTTGAAATGTTTAATTGATGTTTCTTTTCCGGAGGGTCTAAATGATGCTAACATTGTGTTGATACCTAAGAAGCTTGTGCCGGAATTAGTCTTTGATCTTAGACCCAAAGCATTATGTAATGTGATCTATAAGATTATTGTTAAGATGGTAGCTAACCGAATGAAACCTATGTTTGATAAGATTATTTCAGATTCTTAGAGTGCTTTCCTTCATGGAAAACTGATCACGGACGACATCTTGATTACCTCGAAGATAGGGCATTTTCTTAGAAGGAAGCAGATTGGTAATGTTGGTTGGGCTGCTCTCAAGCAAGACATAGGCAAAGCGTATGATCGGATAAATGGAATGGGGTTTTCTGAGAAGTATGCTGCTTAAGCTAGGATTTGATGAAAGATGGGTTAATTTGATTATGTTGTGTGTTACTTCACTTCATTATAGGATCCTTGTGAATGGAAGAACTACTGAAACCATTGTTCCCTCCCGTGGACTCAAGCAAGGTGACCCACTGTTACCATACCTTTTCATTTCCTATGTTGCGGGTTTGTCTTTGTTATAGCAGGATGCGGAGAGGAAAGGATTGGTTCAGGGTTGTAGAGTAGCTAGGGGAGCACCTCCAGTCTCCCACTTGTTCTTTGTTGATGACAGTTTGCTATTCTTTAAGGCTAATTTGCAGGAGACTTCGGTTGTTAAGGGTTGCCTACAGTGCTGTGAAATTGTCGTTGGCCAACCAATCAATCTTCATAAGTCAAGTGTCTCATTTAGCCGAAATACAAGCGAAGATGTGAAAACGGAGGTGGCAGGTACTATGGGGCTGGAATTAGCCGATGGGTTTGGGAAGTATCTTGGGCTACCCACGGTAGTTGGGCAGGATAAAAAGGCAATGTTTGGCTATGTGGAGCAGAAGTTGAGGCACAGGTTTGGCTCGTGGAACAAGAAGTTGCATACAAATGCAGGCAAGGAAGTTTTACTTAAAAGTGTGGTTTAGGTCATGCCCACGTTTACGATGAGTATTTATATCATTCCCTTATCTTTATATGATTCTTTGGAAAAGTTAATGAATAAGTTTTGGTGGAGTGAAGGTGGTGGTTCTAGGGGAATTCACTGGATGTCTTGGAATAAAATGTGTACTCCTAAGAATTACGGGGGACTAGGATTCAAACAATTGCATGCTTTTACTGACTAATCAAACTTCCCTGGTTGCTAGAATTTTTAAAGCACGTTATTTCCCTAAGGATTCATTCCTGGAGGCTAATTTTGGGGGAAACCCTAGTTATGCATGAAGGAGTATTTTGGCAAGTCAAGATCTTATTAAGAGCGGGTGTACGTGCAGGATTAGGAATGCGAAGTTTGGGGTTTTCCCTAGTTTCCATATGATGCTAGCCTATTTATTCATTCTCCCCCATGATCCCATTTTGAAAAATTCTATAGTAGCAGACTTGCTGGACAATACGCATAGTTGGAATATGGCCCTAATTCAACAACATTTTGATGTGGAGGGATCTCTCTGCCATATTCCCAACAGCATTGAACTTGAAGCAAAATAGAGTTGATATCCCAGTTGAATGTCTGACCTGTGGTATATATGAGGAGAGTATCATGCATGTGTTGTGTGGTTGTGAGTTTGCTAGGTGTGTATGGAGTGAGCCCCAACTCCTTATACCTGATTCGGATGATTACACTTTTTTGGAATGGACGGCAGTGTGGCTTTGTAACTCTGCAAGCACTAATTTTTAATTTATGACTCATGCGAAAATTTATGAGGTGCTGCATGAAATTTGGAATGCCAGGAATAATGCAGTCTGGAACAGTTTCGTCCCCACTCCGTTCACTGTATGGAGGAAAGCTAGCGCAACTTGGATCTCTTGGTCGAACAACAGCCAACCAAGCAGACAGACGACGCCTCTTGCCTCACCCAGCCCATTTTTTGGTACTGCAAATCTGGCGGACTAGGTTTGCAAGGTAGACGCAGGTTTACAGGGAGCTGCTACATTCGGCCTTGTACTTTATTCTAGAGATGGCGCTTTCAAGGCAGCAGCGAATGGTCCATTACGGACTCAGTGACGGAGCTATATTATATATGCAGGGAGCCTTGCCTGTGACACCCCGAAATCCAATTTTGGTTAAGGGATTAATTAAGTAATTAATCCTATTTCAATTCGTAATTCAATTCCTTAAATTCCTGAAATTTAATAGCCGGGGACTAGTAATTGACTAGTCAACCCCAAAGTCAAAGTTGTACCTTGAGCTTTGTAAGGAGTTCCCTTGTTCTTTACACCTTTCCATGTTAGTAAGGGTATTCTTGACCTTTCACTTGGTGTTAGTATTGTAACCTAACCTAGTAGACCACCTTCATTCTTTCCTTACACTTTCTAAAAATCTAGCTCCACCTTCTCTCTAAAAAGGTAGATAGCTTTTCTTCCAAGCCAAGTTGGAGCCTTTCCAAAACTTCAAGAGATGCTTCCAAGATTCAACCTTTCACATATTTGGGCATCTAGGAGGGTAAGATCTAGGTTCATCTTGTGTTTTTGGTTTTATCTAAGGTGTCTTTTCTTAAAGATAGGATCTTTATGATCTTTTGGTATGTTCTTGAAGTGGGTTTGGAAGGTAAGCCTTGTGAGGAGCTTGTTGAGGTGTAAAGTGAAGTCTTTAGTCTACAAGAGGTAACACATGCTCTACAAAATCTATTTTTCTTACCTATGTGAATATTTCTTGGAATCTACATGTGTTTTACTATGAAATGTGAGTGTTTATGCATTGTCTTGTGAAAATGCATATCTAGAGCTTGTGTTTAGGGTTCATGTGTGCCATTGCTTGGCTATTCCTTTGATTCAAGTCATTTTGTTGTATTTGGTGAGATTTGGCATGTTTTGGACTTGAATTTGAGTTTGGAGATGAAAATCCCCGAAGGGATTTATTGTGGTACAGGAGTGTACTGGCGGGTGGAACGGCGGGTAGGGGTCCAACCCGCCGCCCTCCCGTGGGGTACATAATGTTGGAGGGCCTGTACCCACGGGTAGGTGCCTACCCGTGGGCCCACCCACGGGGTACGTATTGTGGTTGTTGGGGGATTTGTTCCCTGTGATTCTTTTGACTCGGTATTTGGTCTTTTGACTTCCCGTTGTTCTTTTGTGGAACTATTTGAGTGTCTTCTTGATGTTTCGTATGTCTAGAACTATATGGTAGGTATCCATGTAGGTTTTGGTGTCTTGAATCGTGCTAAGTGTTCAACATTGTGTTTCGTTGAACCATGATGAGTCTTGTGTGTTCTTCGGAACTACATTTGGTTTACCCGTTTGATAAGCATGCTAGTTCGGTGTTTAAATGCTAGCGTGTTTGTTGTTTGTACCTTCCTATTGGTTGATGATAACTTGTGTTATTCATCGTTGTTGTTGTTGGGCTGTGACCCATTCCTTGATTGAGTATGGTTTCATATCTTCGTTGTGATCCGTTGATTGATTCCTATTGAGGTGTGATGTGTGTGTGGCTTTACCTGGATTGCACGATTAGTGGTATGGGACACTAGTCACCAAGGTATTGCAGCGGTCCTCGTGGTGACCGTGACGTGATTATGGAGTTATGACCTTTGTGTAAGGTTCACGTGATTCTTGGGTGGCATGTGTTGCCGTGTGTGTGTACGGTACACTCGTGTACTATGAAATTGGTGGTCTCGTTGGTGGTCATTGGTGGGGGACGACGGTCCCAGGAGGGAAAAGGTTGGACTTGGTTGTATAGGGGTCCTGGAGGTAATGGTTGGAAGAAGATATAAGGTTGGGGGTAGCCATAAGGTTGGAACCGGGCATAAGGAAGGCATATCAACTCGTGATGGGTGATGTCACGAGGGCTCGTGTAGCCGTTGTTGTGAGTTCTTCTCTTGTGACATGTGTAGTCACAAAGGCAAGTGTTGCCTTGGCATGTGTTGCCGTGGGTGAGTCTTATTCCTTTGAGTTGTGCATGTTGGGTTTTGATCTATTGTGTGATGATAGATCATGCCCTGTGCCGTTCTTGTGAGTCGTGTTGTTCTTTGTGATCATGGGATGTGTTCCCGTGTTGTTGTTGAGAGTGGTGAGTCTTTTGTTGACTATTACTCTTAATTTTGTACTTATATATACTTATGTATTCCGTTTCGAAAATGGCTTTACAACTTATATCTTATCTATGTATGTTATTTCACATGTATTGGTGGGTTACCAGCATTATTCGCTGACCGGGCGTCGTCCCATGTTTTATTGTGTTCTTTCAGGTGATGTCTAGGCGAGTGCGCGGTCTAGTACTTGCTAGTTTAGCTTCTCCCTTACGTTTTGTGGCCTGTGTGCCAGTTTAGATGTAGAACTTTGAGACAATGGGTTTAGATGTAAACATTGCAGATGTTGCCTGTGCGTTCATCCTTTTGGTGAACGTGGCATAGCACCCCATGTAACACCCCGTGTTACGACCCCTAAAACCAATTAATCATTTAATCTTTTACCCAAAAGAAATGACTAAATTCCAATAATTAATTGGGAAAAGGCCCACCATAGTCCATGGGCCCTTATCCCTAAACCCAATCCCCTAGTCCTAGAATGAATAGAACTAGCCCTAATTAGGGATTCTTAGGTATATAAATAGGGGGCATAGGAGGCACCTAGAACCCACACCACAATAATCTCCCACCACACAAGAAGTTCCAAGAATCCCCCTAGGAGAAATCAAGAAAGAAGGAATCTTAAAGAAAGACCCTTCATAGCCAAGGAAATTAATTAAGGCTAAGAGGTAACCCATGTCTCAACAAAACCTATTTTCCTTGCTATAATTATCTTCTTTGGCCTCCTCTCTATACTTGTGTCTTGATGAATCGTTTATGATATTGATGATATGTTCTTGATGATTGTGAGATGATTTTATGTGCGATCTTGATGATCTTGATGATGATAAGAGGTTCTTGATGATTATGTGATGTTCTTGATGAATCTTGATGTTTTGGTAATTAAAAGATGAACTATGATTTTATTGATTTGAGTATGATTAGAGCCCTAGGTTAAAATTGGGAATTTCGTATTGTGTTATTCTTGATATAATTGGGTGGGATTTCGCATGTTCGGGTGTTGATTCTGTTTAGAAGTCATGATAGGATATGTGCTATATGATTCTTGCTTTTGATCCATTAATTGTCTACGTGGTGTCATCAATTGCGTTTAAAAGTGTCTAAGCATGGTTTCGGATTCCACAACAGATCCTGGGACGTTTATTTTGATAAAGAGTCAGTGGGGGGTAGGTGGGGGTAGGGGACCCGCCACCTACCCGCTGCCCGAGAAGGGCGTCGCCGGCAGCGAGCAGGCGACTGCCCGCCGGGCACCCGCTGCCCGGAGACTTGTCGCCGGCGGGCAGCCGGCGGGTGGTCCTCCACCCACCGGGTACCCGCTGGAAATTGTCTAACTCGGGACTCCGGGTTCCCCGTTTGATGTTTCCCCGACCCTCGTGGTGTCCCAACGGACCCCGTTTATCGTGCCTAAGTCTAGTTTGATGTTTCGGGTACCGTTCGTAGGATAAATGAGACTTATATATCGCATGCTAGTTGAATTGGTATCCCGTTGGCCTAGGTGAAAGAAGTATGAACCCCTTAGGACTATTCCTAGTTTGTGGATGACTACGCATAGGTTTCTTTGTACGTTTTCTCCCCTTTCCCAATGTGCTAATATAAGTTGCATGTGCTTGCTATGTGTTATGTGTGCATGATACCCCAATTTGGTTGCGATCAAATTGGTTATTCCTGAGCTGCGGTTCAAAAGCTGGCTGCGGTCAGAATTACACTCTCGGGCTGCGGTCCACCGTTTGGATGCGATCAAACGTATTACATGAGCTGCGGCTCATATTCCTGGCTGCGGTCAGATGATCACTTTTGGGCTGCAGTCCACCGTTTGGTTGCGATCAAACGTTTTACATGAGCTGCGGTTCATATTCCTGGCTGCGGTCAAATGATTACTCTTGGGCTGCGGTCCACTGTTTGGT